TTTATAAATACAATCCAACACTCTAGGTTAGAGAGAGTGGGAGAGCTGTGATACTTTCCTTTGTCAGCAACAAGTGAATGCATTGTTTGAAAAAAAGAAAATGTTGCAAAGACCATGAGCACCTAAAGCCCACACACACATAAGCACATTACATCAACCCCCCCCCCCCCATCCCCAAATTAAACATGAAAATTAGGCATACATCAGTTAGGTCTCTGATTAAAACTTTCCTACCTTTGGCCATTTTATACACTAACATCTGCTGATTGGTGCATTTAATTATTTTATGAAAACATCTGCCTGTTGTTAGTATCTCTAGTACATTTCAGCATAGTCTTACTCATTAAAATTGCCTTGCCATTGGCAAATATTTGCACTGCTTTATTATCTGTGGTATCCTATTACTTGTTGTAAAACACCTGCCTGTTCCGTTCCCATTGTTAATGTTGACATGCATATAGGAGCAGGTGCAGAGATCCACTATTTGCATTGGGATCCATACCTCCACCCTTGCACGTGTCAAATTTTGTCCTTCCAGCCATTGCATCTGCGTCCACTTGTATAGGCTTCTTTAGGCTGAGTTTAATAGAAATTAGTCAGTGGCGAGACAGCTTTACATCAGCGAGATAACACGCAAAACACAGCACAAGGATCTTGAGAATATACAGTCAGGTCCATAAATATTGGGACATAACAATTCTACATTTTTGGTTCTATACACCACCACAATGATTTGAAATGAAACAAACAAAATGGCTTTAACTGAAGACTTCAGCTTTAATTTGAGGGTATTTACATCCAAATCAGTGTAGGAATTACAACAGTTTGCATATGTGCCTCCCACTTTTTAAGGGACCAAAAGTAATGGGACAGAATTTTCACTTTTTAATTTGGTTGCAAATCCTTTGCAGTCCACAGTTGAAGTATGGAACGCATAGGCATCACACAGATCTGGGTTTCATCCTGGTGATGCTCTGCCAGGCCTCTACTGCAACTGTCTTCAATTCTGTTTGTTCATGGGGCATTTTCCCTCATTTTTGTCTTCATAGTGAAATTTATTGATGCATGCTCAATCGGATTAGGTCAGGTGATTGACTTGGCCTTTTGCAGTGTGCTTTGGGTCATTGTCCATCTGCACTGTGAAGCAGCGTTCAATGAGTTGTGAAGCATTTGGCTGAATATGAGCAGAAAATATTACCCGAAACACTTCAGAATTCATCCTGCTGCTTTTGTCACAGTCACATCATCAATAAATACAAGAGAACCAGTTCCATTGGCAGCCATACATGCCCACGCCATGACACTACCACCACCATGCTTCACTGATGAGGTGGTATGCTTAGGATCATGAGCAGTTCCTTTCCTTCTTCATACTCTTCTCTTTCCATCACTCTGGTACAAGTTGATCTTGGTCTCATCTGTCCATAGGATGTTGTTCCAGAACTGTGAAGGCTTTTTTAGATGTCATTTGGCAAACTCTAATCTGGCCTTCCTGTTTTTGAGGCTCACCAATGGTTTACATCTTGTGGTGAACCCTCTGTATTCACTCTGGTGAAGTCTTCTCTTGATTGTTGACTTTAACACACATACACCTACCTCCTGGAGAGTGTTCTTGATCTGGCCAACTGTTGTGAAGGGTGTTTTCTTCACCAGGGGAAAGAATTCTTCAGTCATCCACCACAGTTGTTTTCCGTGGTCTTCCAGGTCTTTTGGTGTTGCTGAGCTCACCGGTGCTTTCCTTCTTTTAAAGAATGTTCCAAACAGTTGTTTTGGCCATGGCTAATGTTATTTCTATCTCTCGATGGTTTTGTTTTGTTTTTTCAGCCTAATGATGGCTTGCTTCACTGATAGTGACAGCTCTTTGGATCTCATCTTGAGAGTTGACAGCAACAGATTCCAAATGCAAACAGCACACTTGAAATGAACTCTGGACCTTTTATCTGCTCATTGTAATTGGGATAATGAGGGAATAACACACACCTGGCCATGGAATAGCTGAGAAGCCAATTGTCCCATTACTTTTGGTCCCTTAAAAAGTGGGAGGCACATATGCAAACTGTTGTAATTCCTACAACCGTTCACCTGATTTGGATTTAAATACCCTCAAATTAAAGCGGACAGTCTACAGTTAAAGCACATCTTGTTTGTTTCATTTCAAATCCATTGTGGTGGTGTATAGAGCAAAAATGTTAGAATTGTGTCGATGTCCCAATATTTATGGACCTGACTGTATATGGTGTCCTAGTAAACAGACCAGATGATGGTTTTGATGTCTTTATAAATTATTTGGCTTACAGTGCCAATTGCAGGCTAATTCCATTGCAGCACATGATGTTCAACTATGGTACATGCCCATGCAATAAACACTCTTATAGTGGTGCTAATTTATTGATGCCAATCTCATTTAACTGCTTCCCGTTCGCCATCTAGCACAAATACTGCTACAGGGTGGCACAGGTGTGCAAAATCATATATATATATATATATGTGTGTGATTTTGTATTTCCGGGTAGGGGATTCGCACGAGCTGTCAATCACCGGGTCTCAGCTGGTAATTACTCACTGGTGATCGGCAATTTCCAAAGATCTCTGATGGGGAGGAGGACTGTTTTGTTTACTAACAGTTCTCCTCCCTGTCAGGTAGGGCACACTGTTCTGGATGGCTGTGCACAGCACAGCCATTCAGAACAGTGTGATTACAGTGAAGCACACTGACAAGCCCCCCTAGTAAAACACTCCCTGCTCACAGTTAACCCTTTGATCGCCCTCATGTTAACCCCTTCCTGCCCAGTGCCATTAGTACAGTGTCAGTGCTTTTTTTAGCACTGATCACTGTATTGGTGTCACTGGGGATGTCAGTGACACCAAGTCAGTTCCCCCCAGTGTCAGAATGTCCATCCGCTATAAGTCGATGATTGCCGCTATTACTAGTAAAAATTAAAAACAAAAATCCCAGTATATATATATATATTTGTAAGCGCTTTAACTTTCACATAAACCAATTACACGTATTGGGATGTTTTTCTTAGCAAAGACGTAGCAGAATACATTTTGGTGTAAATTTATGACAAAATTTGATTTTTAACATTTTTTTACTGGAGATGTTTAATAGCAAAAAGTCAAAAATACATTTTTTTTTCTCAAAATTGTCGGTCTTTTTTTTTCATAGCGCAGAAAATAAAAAGTGCACAGGCAATCAAATACCAACAAAAGAAAGCTCAATTCGTGGGGAAAAAAAAGGACACAAATGTCATTTGGGTGCAGTGTTGCACGACTGCGCAATTTTCAGTTAAAATAACAAAGTGCTGTAATGCAAACAATGACCTGGTCAGGAAGAGGCGGTAAATACTCTGGAGGGCAAGTGGTTAAACGCTAACAAAGTCTACAGTAAGTACATGATATCCACATAAAAGCAGCAATCATACATAGTACTTATGCTGGTTTCTACAGTGTACAGTGGATGAAAAGCATATCTAAACCATGGTGGGAACCTTGTCTGAGGTGCACTCTCACAAACAACCCGACCAGCAGGTATAATGTGGGAAGATCCATTCTCCGTGGAAGGCAAGAGTGAAGGTAGCTGCAGCATTCAAGCTGGCAGGGATGGTAGATCTGCTCTGTTGACCAAAAGTGCATCACTGCTAACAGGAAGTCCTCAAGTAGCCATATTGCCGAAGTCCATAGTGCCAGTGAGCATGCAAGATCTCCAAGACGTTTCGAGGTCTTACCTCTGAGAGCTCTCAATACCTTGTATGGATTGTACGAGGGGGCGGGAGCAGCATATTTATCCCACTGCACACTATGTCCGCCATGTCACTGTCCAAGTCCAAATTAGCATTATAGTAACAATGTTACAAGCTCTATGTTCTGCAAAGATAATAATAATAAAGTACAATAGATCAAATCCTGACTGCTGGGTCTAAACACATCAGCAAGAACAGAGAAAGCCTCAGTGAATAGCTGGCCAATTTTTAACCACCAGTTAAATCTATAATTTTAATGCTTGATGAAAGAGAGTGTTTCTAAGATTACTTCATGAAAAAAAGCCTTTTTTAACTTAAATGAATTAAATTGTGTGCTGCTGTATGTAAACCAAGGTAATTGTAATGAAAAAAAAAATTACAGTTCAAATATGCATTGCATTCCATGAAAACTGTACTGTTCTGTAATACCATGCATCCCTCAAGTGTGTAATCTAAGGGATTTGTTGCCTATGAAGTTACATGAGAAAGAAATTCTCCCCCCTTACAGCATTTTTACAATATTTTAGCATCCTGAATAGCCGTGTCCAGCTTCCTATTCCTTTTTTTTGGACAATACCATAACTATTAGCTCTAAAACTACTAATCAGAGTTGTCCTCCAAAGACTTAAAAGTGTATAACCACTGCGCTCATTATGTACTAAAACACTTCCATAATTGTGCTTGAAAACCTCTCAATATAGAAAGTGGACAGTTCACACATAGAGGTCAATTACATTTTGTGTTAATGAGCCACTAGAACAAAAAGATGTCTTAGATTTGAAGCATTAAAAAAAGAATGGTTAATAATAGCAATAGCACAAAACAATATAAAAATGTTTGAATTGATCTAGCCCACCCAATTAAACCCAGACTGATAGGGACATTTGCTGTGATAATCTATTCCTTATACAGGTAGATATTGTTATACAACTGCAGTAGAATTCTCTGTGTTTGGGTACTTGCATGGCGCATAGTAACCCTAGAACAAAAGAAAATAGAAGTTAAAGTGGAACTTTAGTCAGAAAATGAAGTCCTGTAATATTACTTCAAGCTAGTCCCTTTTGCAGCTACAGTATAGATAGGTAAAACATTACAAAAAAGTTCCTATACAGTTTAACCACCTCCCACCCGCTATATAGTACAATGACGGGTGCAAGGCGGCTCTCTCTTTCTGGGAGGATGTCATGACGTCCTCCCATTCTAACCACGCAGGCACGGCTCCGGGAGCGCGCACTGCAGTGATTGGCTGTGCGCTGTGTCCCTCGGACACAGCGGATCACTGATCAACGGAAAGAGCCGAAGATGTCGGCTCGGTCATGTGATCAGCTGTGTCCAATCACAGCTGATCACATGTAAATAGGGAAATGCCGGTTGTTGGCATTTCCCTCCTCACGAGCTGTCACGCTGACAGCTCGTGAGGAGAGGAGAGCCGGTAATCGGCATCCCTCAGAGGGGACATGTACACTGATCATCAGGGCACTGGTGATCAGTGTACCCTGATGATCTGTGTAGCCCCAGCAGTGCCACCTGTCAGTGTCCATCAGTGCCAGCTGTCAGTGCTCATCCATGCCAACTGCCAGTGCCCATTAGTGCCACATCAATGCCACAGATCAGTGCTTACCAGTGCACATCAATGCCACATATCAGTGCCCATCTGAGCTGCCTTCCAGTGTTACCCATCAGTGCCAGTCAGTGCCACCTATCAATGCCAATCAGTGCCACCTATCAGTGCTGCCAATCAGTGCCACCTATCAGTGCCCGTCAGTGCTGCCTAGCAGTGCCACCTAACAGTGCAAGCAAGTGCCACCTAACAGTGCCAGTCAGTGCCACCTATCAGTGCTGCCAATCAGTGCCACCTATCAGTGCCCGTCAGTGCTGCCTAGCAGTGCCACCTAACAGTGCAAGTAAGTGAACCTAACAGTGCCAGTCAGTGCCACCTATCAGTGCCAGTCAGTGCCGCCTATCAGTGCCGCCTATCAGTGCCATATATGAGTGCTGCCTTTCAGTGCCCATCAGTGATGTCTGTCAATGCCCATCAGTGCCACTTACCAGTGCCTCCTCATCAGTGCACATCAGTGCCACCTATCAGTGTCCATCAGTGCAGCCTATCAGTGCCCATCACTGCAGCCTCATTAGCGCACATCAGTGAAGGAGAAAAATCACTTATTTACAAAATTTTATAACAAAAACTAAGAAAAAACTTTTTTTCAAAATTTTCAGTGGTTTTTGGTTTGTTTAAGAAAAAATAAAAAACCCAGAGGTGAGTAAATACCACCAAAATATATCTCTATCTGTCACAAAAAAATGATACAAATTTCATATGGGTACAGTGTTGCATGACCACGCAATTGTCATTCAAAGTGCAACAGTGCTGAAAGCTGGAAATTGGCCTGGGCAGGAAGGGGATATAGGTGCCCTGTAGGCTAGTGGTAAAATCCTGTAATGCACTGTCCCACCCTGCTCTGCACATCCTCAGTTGCTCAATATTTTTTGTCACAGAATGTAGAGGGCAACAACCTAAAGATTTACTGCTGCTCAGGGGATCTGGGCTTCAGCAAAATGGCAACCTTCAAGAAACAGGAGCAATGCTAGAAGCAACTAACAACATGCACTAATTATTAACATGGAATGTACTGTATGTTTCTTGCTAAAGAACATTATTTTTTTATCAAGTTGTTTATGGGTAAAGTTCAATTCAGTTTAATGTTTCATTGTTGAATAAGGGCATGTTAAATTGGTTTAGTAGCTACAGGTAAGCTGCAGTTCATTTGTTCTGTGTTTTATGGGTCAATGTATGTACTGCTTCTCTTTTGCACTTTACAGTAGCTGTATCTTCGCCATACTTCTTTTATATATTACTGCACACTTTCTACATCAGGGTGTATAGAAAAGACACCAAGTCCTCCAATTCACCTTTAAAGAAATAGACAAACCAAAGTAATGACTACAATTTATTGTATCAACTTATCATTAGCACCATGCGGCGAGAGGATGGATTTCTCTTGCAACCATAAAACATTGTTACTCCATCATTGTAAAAAAATATTGTAGAAAGAATGTTGCAAGAGCTTCAGACTTTAAAGGGAAATGCTTTTCTTCTGCAAGTAAGCAACTTCTATAAGGGCTTTTAAATGAAAAAACATGTAACTGCCTAATGAATTAAGTATACAATGTTGTGTTGCACATTCCTTTTAAATGTCAGATCTAATATTTTCATATTGTACAATTTAAGTCAGTGCTATGCACTGACTTTCTGCAAACTTAGGGTAAATGCTGTTCGGTGATCTCCACCTTAAACTGTCTCCTTGCTATGCACTGACTTTCTGCAAAACTTTTGTCTGTTTGTTGTGAATGATTTTCACCTCTTTTGCCTTTCTGTGATCAGAGAATCAATCGTCTTTTATGACCCTGGCCTGTATGTGCGACTGATCTGGTTTTCACCAACTTCCCCCCAAATTCATGTGATCCTTATCAGTTCCTAATTGGGGCGGAGAAGAGCTGCTCATTTGATCATCTCCCTATAAATTTAGACCAGCTTAAGGGGAGGTCACAGATGGGGGGTACAGTCGCAGATGTGGCATTGTCCTGTGTGAGTGCATTTTCTGCTGGAGTGTGAAGATGCAGTTGAACACAGCAGTTTAAATAAAGCAGGATAGCTCAAGCAGCAGGAAGATACAACAAAGAATTCTACTGTGTGCTGGATGGACTGCAAGCACACACCCTGGGAAACATCTCTTACAAGTTTGATTCCCACTCCATGCCCATATGGAAGATAAATATATTTCCAATATATTTAGAAAAAAAATTATACATGCCAAATATATTTACAATATATTGGCCTACGTGAATATATTTTAACATGCATTCCAAAAATGTAAATTAAAATATATTTTCCAAAGGCATATATTTAAAAATATATTTTTTAAAATATATTTTCCAGATATTTTTGAACATCTAAAAAAATGCATTTAAAGATATATTTTTATATACTTGTAAATGCATTCCAAAAATGTAATTTAAATATATTTTCCAAAGACATATATTTGAAAATATATTTTTAAAATATATTCTTCAGATTTTTTTAACAGATAAAAAAGTAATTTCAACAGATATTTTTACATATATTTGTAAATGCATTCCAAAATACACTTTGAAATATATTTCCCAAATATATACACAAATATTTTGAATTATATTTTTTAAATATATTGAAAATGGCCAAAATTTTAGTATTTGAAATATATGTCAATATATTTTGGGAAGAGTATATTAAGAATGTATTTTTTAAATATATGAAAAATATATTTTTCTTCCATGTTTGTGTACCTTTTAACCATTAGCCGCCCGGCCTATAGCCGTTTGGCGGCCTCAAAAACGCTTTACCATTTGGCGTGCTCCCCGCACATGCGCAGTTTGCACGGTGGCAGAGCCGCGCAGCGGCACGATCTGTCACCGGCCGTGTACCTCGCACACGGCTGATGACAGATCTGAGTATTGGCCTCCCTTGCCGGTACCATGTGACCTGCTGTGACCAATCACAGCAGGTCACATGACAGTTGTATACAATGGATGACTTCATTCATGCCATCCATTGTATACTAGTGCCTAGCTGTGAATGGTCACAGCTAATCACATGCACATGTCATGTGATTAGCTGTGGCCAAATCACAGCTAAGCACAAAAAAAAAAAAAAAAACTGAATAAATCGATTTCATTCAGGTAAATGCTTGCTTATAGCAAAGTAATTCTTTGCTATAAGCAAATTGTGTAAAAGAAAAAAAACAAAAACCGATCACTTCCCCAAAGTAGTACAATGTTACTATGGTAACATTGTACTACTTTGGTCATAGTAAAATATGAAACAAAATCTTAAAAAAAATTAAATAAAAAATTAAAAGTAATAAGAAAAAAAAATATATATATATATTTTTTTTCATACTGTCACCAGTCGGTGTCCCTGTTCACCACCATACCAGTTATATGATGACACTGTGCTGCACTGGTGACAATATGTAAAAAAAAAAAATAGTGAAAATAATTTTTTTACATTTTTTCATTTTCCGAAAAATTATGACAAAAAAATAAAACTTCAAAAAACTCGCCATTCCTCTTATGAAGTACGTTGGACTGTCTACTCTGCAAAAAGGGGTCATTTGGGGATATCTGTACTATTCTGACATTCTTGGACCTCAAGAAATTAGATTGGCTGTCAGTACTTCAGGATTGATCAATATTCAGATCTATACCATAGTTTGTCAACTCTATAACTTTCCTACAAACTAAATAATATATCCTAATTTGGGTTATTTTCACCAAAGACATGTAGCAGAATACATCTTGGCCTAAATTTATGAAGAACAAATATTTATTTGTAAACTTTTATAACAGAAACAAAGAAAAACGTGTTTTTTTTTCAAAATTTTTGGTCTTTTTTTGTTAATTTAGCAAAAAATAAAAAAACCCCCGGCGGTGATTAAATACCACCAAAAGAAAGCTCTAGTTGTGTGAAGAAAATGATAAAATTTTAGTTTGGGTACAATGTTGTATGACCACGCAATTGTCATTCAAAGTGTGAGAGCGCTGGAACGTGAAAACTGGCCTGGGCAGGAAGGTGTAAAATTGCCCGGTATTGAAATGGTTAATATGCCCCCTCTACTCCTCCTTTTCATATTACTATCTTCTGTCCTCAAAATCTAATTTCTTTACCCCTCTGCTCCACCCCAAAGCTTACACATCTCACCCTCACTTCTACCATCTCCCTATTACTGCGCATCACCTCCTGCTAATACTATGTTCACCCGCTGACCCAAGCACAAGGACAGGAAGGCATGCACATTCCCATCTTACTTTCCTCACCCTCCTTCTTCTCCAAAATTCTGGGGATATCTCCCCAAACCCTGGTCCTCCAGTATCTCACCCCCACACCAGGCACCTTCCTTCCTTCAATAATAGCCGCAATCCACTCAATTTAATCTCAATCCCTATGCTCCTAAAAACCACCACCCTCCCTTTTTCACGTGCACTCTGGAATGCCCACTCTGTCTGTAATAAACTCACCTCTGTCCATGACCTTTTTGTCTCCCACTCCCTTAACCTACTAGCAATTACAGAAACCTGGCTTCAGGTTCAAGCATCAGATTCTGCTTCTCCCGCAGCACTTTCCTATGGAGGCCTTCTCTGGACCCACTCATCCAGACCCAGTGGTCAGAAAGGAGGTGGGGTTGGTTTGCTTCTATCCCCACTGAGCACCTTTCAAGTCCTCCCTAGCCCTCCCTCTCTATCCTTCTCTTCTTTTGAGACTCACTGCATTCGGCTGTTTTCTCCCATTTTTCTGAGGATTGCAGTGATCTTCCGGCCTCTTGAACCAGAATCATGCTTTCTTGATTACTTCTCTGCTTGGCTACCCTACTTTCTCTCCTCTGAAATACCCACTATCATTCTTGGAGATTTTAACATCCCCATTAATGTGAATAACCCAGCTACATCCCAACTCTTCATCCTAACCTCGTTTTTTGCCTTGACACAATGGATACAGTCCTCCATTCACTTCGATGGGAATACATTAGACCTTGTTTTCTCCCATCTTTGCACTCCCTACAACCTCAAAAACATCCCCTTCCTCTCGCTAGGTACAAGAGTACATTAATTAGTAGTTGTTTGATGCATTTAGTAATTGTTTTGAGGTTCTTTTTAAGGTAGTCTTTTGAAAAATAATAGATTTTGGCTTCTAAAGAAAGAAAAGTGAAACATGTGAAAAGTACAAACAAATGGCAACTGCCCCAACCAATAACTGGCCTTTGCAGCAAGGAACACATGGAAGGACGACACATGTCAAACAACAACAAAGAAAAATTCTCAGCTCAGCTTACCAACCAGCATGCAACCAACTTAATTACCCTGCCTAACAGTTCACATTAAAAACAAGCGTTTAGCTTGCACACATTTGTAAGTACATGCATAAGCAGCAGAGCCTCTTCACAGCACCCCAGTATTCTGCACTTCCTCACTCTATAAATTTTGAGAGCCTCCATAAAAAGAAGCGCATGTCTAATAATGAATAGATTTAGGACAGGTAAGAGATTCGGAAGATGAAGGCTTTCCTGAATAGTTTTAGAGCCTCTGTATGCTGTAAAAAAAGGATACTGTAAAAAAAGAGAGGAACTCTGTACCCTAGTAAAGATTGTGCCTAATGCACTGTTTGGACCGCGGATCAGTTTTTTTTTTTACCTGTTAAACAGAAATCTATCCTGAGTTCCTCAAAACTGTGTTGCCATATTAAGGGGGCCCTTGTATTTTAAGTGTATCTAAAGCTTAAACTTTTTTTTCTCAGTTTTTGATAGATCAGGGAACAGTCAAAACTATGTCCAGTTGATATTACTGCCTCAATCTTAATTGGGGATTTCCACACTTTTTTTTTTCTCCTGATGACCTTTGTCATCAAAACTGAAAGCAATGGGGAATCTCCCCTGACCAGGGGCGGACTGACCATTTGGAAACTCGGGCACTGGCCGAGGGCCCGGGGTCAGTAGGGGGCCCCATGAGATGCCCCTGGTACCTTTTTCATAGGCTTTTTTGAGTTTGGGCAAGGACACAGGGCCCCATGATCCCCTATTGCCCGGGGGCCCCATGAGTTGTCAGTCCGCCCCTGCCCCTGACAAATGACTTTCTCTAATTTCCTATTGATTGTTTCCACAGGGAACAAGGTGAATAGGAATCTCCTGGGTAACATACAGATGTCAAAAAAGGAACTTTAACCAGTTCCTTCTCTTTGCAAAATTGATAAAATTGGCTCTAAGTGTCCCTTTTGGAGGAAAAGAAATGTAATCTCCAAACACGGAAAGGTTTCTTCACAGTGAGAGCTGTGAAAATGTGGAATAGACTCCCTCAAGAGCTGGTTCTGGCCAGCTCAGTTGATTGCTTTAAAAAAGGTCTGGATTCTTTCTTGGATACACAGAATATAATTGGTTATTAACATTTATAGGTAAAGTTAATCCAGGGAATATCCGATTGCCTCTCGAGGCATCAGGAAGGAATTTTTTTCCCCTGCAGGAGCAAATTGGATCCTGCTTAGCTGGGGTTTTTTTGCCTTCCTCTGGGTCAACTGTGGGTGTAGTATTATAACTTTTCTTTTTTTTTTAATGGTCAAACTGGATGGACTTTTGTCTTTTTTCAGCTAGACTAACTATGTATTATGATTGGGATGGCTAAGACCAGTGTAAATAGTTATTTTGTACTTACATTGGAGTCTATGTCCATCTTAGATGTTTCCCTTTAAATGTACCAAGCAAAGCTGCTAACATTTTTAACACAACATTCTGTATGTTTGCATTCTTCCCTCCTTACTTAATGTCCACAACTATAGCATGTACTGTACACATTAAAATAGTTTAATAATACATTATAATTAATTCACACTGAGCTTTAGATCATCAGTGGGTTTTAACTGATTCTCCAGTTTTATTTTCCAAAGTTTGATAAAACTTTGCAACTCTACTTCTTAACTTTTAGCTGTCAACCTGGTAGCTTTTAGCTTGGCAGGTCTGGTTTTATTAGCTTTATAAATACCTACAAAATATCCTACAAGGTCTATCAGAAGAGCTGAGCTTTAATAAGATTAAAAGCTGATCCACCTTTCACCTGCTTTGTAAATAGTCACTATTGGGTTTAAGAGCAATATAAAACCTAGCAAAATACAGCGAATGTACTACTTGAGTTCATACAGATACTGAATCTAAGTCTTTGTCAATGTACAAAGCTTTGGTTAGAAGGTACATTTTCATTATCTGATCAGTGTCTGGTAATAGTAGTCACTAGCTGAGAACAAAATAATTGGATGACCGGGTTTCTATATCTCCCTGGTTAATGCATGTCAAGGTGAACACATTTTTTAAACTATAGAGTTCAAATGTATTTTTTGGCATTTTCCTAAGGTCAGATACTTAAGAAAGCTGTGTTGCAGTGTCTTACATATTTTATGTGTTTTCAGGTCTGATTCTGATTTACATCACTTGTATTATCCTAAATTGAACATGTAAGGAATATAGTAGCTGACATATTTTTAAAGCAGAAAACACTTGGGCTTCTATTATGATTCTGGCTTTACTACTTAATGAGTATCTAACCTTGAACAAGGCATTGAGACCTTAATATTGGCTACATTCTTTTTCTAGGTCAGTGACTCACTCCTGCTCCTTAGAGTGCATGCAAACCCGGAAACCAAAATAAAAATGTATTGTTGTTCAGGATCCTTCAAAGTTGCAAAGTACAACACTTTTCATCTCTTTTCTAGCAAATTTAAAGGATTACCTGGTGATCCTATGATTAAGTTGTAAATCCTAGGATGGTCTGTAACAGGGTAAAAATGCTCACTCATTGGCTGCTAATGTAGCAAAAGTGTTGTCACCCTTCACTGTGTGCTCCAGCTTAGAACTCCATGGACCTGATTTTGATATCAGTGAAAGTAAACTGCTGCTGCAGTGTTTTACTATCCACAGCCATTGACATTTGGAAGGGCAAGGAAACAGAAAGCAGTCACATAAACACTTCAAACATTACCTAAAATTTACTTTTGAGCTAATATAAGTTCTGACAGTGAAGGGCCTCTCATCTGGATGCACATCATTTGCTCAGCTAGCAATGCCTCATCAGGTGTGGCCTCTCTGAGATGCTGACGGAGGGAATCTGAGGAATGTGTAATCCCTGGGCATGTCCAATAACCAAGTTGTGGGAAATGGAAGATAAATGGAGCCTGAACACTCTTCACAATGAAAGTAATAATGAAAGGAAAGCTATCAAATTTACAGTATTATTAAAATTCTCCATTCTGCAAGTATTTTGACATCAAGCATGATTTATGTACAAATGTGAAATATAAATGCAAAAATAAAATCTTTTAGTGTGAGAGTGTGCTTGCTAAGTTGTTTTGAACAGTTCCATATTTAAAAGCTTTTGCAATTTTAAAGCAAATTTCCCTTTTCCCTTCTACGTTTACTTTACATTAGATCTTTTGAGTTCAAAACGTTTCTCCAGTGTGTGAAAGTTGTTTGAAAATTCACCTACTACAGAAAGGGTCACTTGAAATAAAAACTATACTCGCCTTTTCTTCAGCCCTGCAGTGTCCTGGAGCTCCTTGCTGGCCGTTGATATCTTCAGCCAGTCAGTTTCAAGGCATCAATCTTCAGTCATTTTCATTGGCCGAGCCAAGATTACATCACTGCTGTGAATGTATAGGAGTTCATTCATCTCAGAATTACTGAAATTTTACACTGAGCTGTGTGTGAGCAACTCAGTGTACAAAGCATGTAGGCAGGTAAGGAAGTTTAATGCAGAAGAGACATAGTGGGGTTTACTAAAGCTGGAGAGTCCAAAATCAGACTCCCTTCTGCATAGAAACCAATCAGCTTCCAGGTTTCATTACCAAATCTTCATTGAACAAGCTGAGGTTAGAAGCTGATTGGTTTCTATGCAGAAGGGAGTCTGATTTTGGACTCTCCAGCTTTAGTAAATAAACCCCAGTCTGTCTCATCTGTATCAGAAATCCTGTTTGATATTTCTTTTCTCCTAAAGTTCCACGTTAAGTAGCACATTCTCCACCTTCCTGCCATGTCATAGCCTTCTCCTCTTCTAGGAGTGTCTAACTATTCACTGTGCTGGTCCAGCTCCTCCACCCTTCCCTTGATGCACCTATATAACATTTTATTTAGTGGAGGAGTGAATAAAAACACTATAGAGTAGCCTTTCTCAAATTGTTTAAATGCAAAGGAATGCTTAAAGTTACTTTCAGTTCTCAGATAGTCTCTGTTGATAATTTGTATGTTTACACTGCATAGTACATTAGTGTGAACAGTAAGTTTTAAATACAGAAATATAAATAAAAAATAAGCATAAGCAAAAATAAGGCATTTTTGACACTTAGGGCTGCTCTGTATGACAAAACTATTTTCAGCAATAATAATGAAAATAAATAATTATAATAATATAAGTGCAAATAAAGAAACCCAGACATGGAAAATGTTTGTGTTTCCACAAATGGATATTTAGTAGACATTTCCCCTTACATTGGAGGTCAGTGAAATGTCTTCTTACACTGGTGGTCAGTGAAGAAGGACCCTTACATTTTTGGTCAGTGTGAGAAGGGTCTCTTTAAACTGGTAGTTAGCGGGAGAATGGCCCCATTACACTGATGGATAATGGGAAGAATGTTCCTATAGAATTGGTCAGTAGGAAAAATGCTTCTTACAGTATTGGTCATTGGAAAGATTGTTCCCTACAGTATTAGTCAGGAGGTAAGAATGTCCCTACTACAGATAGCTGAAAAGATTGTTGTGAGTTTTTACTTATCTGAGATGGTGGCACCCAGCAGCAGTCTCAGTCCTTTTGCTATACCTACACAAGGGAGGCTTTTTCAGGTAAATAACATGAATAAAATAGGTTAGGTGCACACACAGTATAATCTTTGCAGACATTTTTTGTTGAAATGAATGGGGTGTTTCATGTGCTGTCTACACTTACTGAATTCACTCTTACACCCGACCCAACCATAGCTCTTTTGAACAAATGTCCATCTGATATATTTAAATCACAATTCCAACTATTGCTTTACATCACTGATGCCTCCAAACAAACCATTGCCAAAGCTTGGAAAACACCCAATCTCTGTTTTCTTGACACAAAACATAGAATAACCCAGTTTAATCTAGCTACATTGCTAGACCGTATCCCCAAACACCTAAAAATATGGCAGCCATGGGTTGACAACTTTTTACCACAAGACTTCGACCAATCATTAATGGAACCCTGATTTTGTAGTTTTAGTATTTTACTAGGCTGACCTGTACTAGAATTTTACTGCCTCAGTATGTCTACCAGATCCCCTGGTTCTCTCTCCCCTCCTTTTCTTCTCTTTTCCCTCCCTTCTCTATTCCCCTTTCTTTTGATTTTGAACTGTTAAAGTTTGAGAAGCTGCCTTTTACTTCTTCCATTTTTGGAGCATCTAATTTTAGTCTATTTTTCCCCAAGAATCAGGGTTGCTCAGTTGCTTACATTTGTACTTGATCTGACGTTTGCTCCAATAAGTTGTCTTTTTTATCTTTTTACTGTTATTGAAATTCAATTTTGTAAAGTTATTCACTATGTTTTAACTGTATGACAGTCTTTGTAAATTGTACCACAGATGATCTCTCAAATGTCTCATTTCAGAATATGTACAGCCCCATAGGGCTGGTCAATTTTGCCACACCTGCTGAATGCAGGAAAGAGCCTGGTCCCTGTTCTGTGGAAATCAAACAGTGCACCCACAGTGGGAAAATGACTCACTTAAGTAAATTAGACAATGGAGGATAAACATTGGGCACATAGGTGTAAGGATAGTAATGACAAATTTCTGAAATTCGGGCAACCTGAAAAGCATTTGAAAATTTTCCATGGAAAAGAGAAGTAAGTTAAGGCATGTCAGAAAATGTAAGAGTACAATAAAAAAAAACTTAAATAGTGTTGGAGATGCTATTATTAAAATGACAGTAGGCTGTTTGCAAAATAATTTTTACTTTGCAAGGAACCTTATTGAATAAGGTGAAGCACTGTAGACTTCCATCATGAGCAAGAAAAAATACTGTTTCTTATATTTTTCTGGCACGTGATTGGGTATTCTTTGCAAAGCAAATTTCACCAGTTCACAAACACTGCACCACTAATTCCCCTGCAAAGTGGAAAATCCCTTGTAAAGTGAACAGTTCATTTATGCAAAACACCTGCATAAAAAATTATGAAAATTAAAATAAAGAAAGGAAAATACACATACTGGTTTGCACTGGTAATGCACAGTGCAAAT